ATCAATAAATGACCTATATACGTGATGCATACAGTAATCACATCCTTATCCTCCAATCCCATATACTTACTCTTTCTTTATTTGTAGCGCAAGATGATAACATGCAATTTCGCATTGTCGCTCAAGCTTTTGTCAGCAATGAGCTGCTGAAACATACCAGTGGATTATTCAAATGACTAAAAAAGCCACTAGTAATAAATATCTCCGTGTTTTTGTGACTGATGCCGATCCAGCAATGGAATGAGCAATAGCTTTGGAGTATCCGGGAACGCAACACCTTTTTTGTATTTGGCATGTTAAAGAAAATATAAAAAAGGTGTTGCATAGCAAGTTGAGAGATTCATTTGATGAATTTTATAGCAAGTTTTGGCAATGCAGGAATGCTGATACATTACGTGGCTTTGAATACTATTGGAACCAACTTTTGAACTTCTCTGATGCAAAACCATACCTTGAACACTATCTTTATGAACGTCGACATTCATAGGCACGTTCCTTCACTACGATGACACTTACACTTGGGATTCAATCTACATCCTTCGTCAAAAGTCAAAATGCATGTATTAAGCAAGTGTTAGAGAATAGTAATACATCATTATATGATCTAGGTAACGTATTGATGGAAAGAAGTAAAGAAGAACAAAAGCGAAAGCAATTTGAAGAATGGAGACAGAGTATTCCTTCCACAGCAAGCGTTGTCACTGTTTTTCCCCTTATAGAATCTTTAGTAAAACGTTATTTGAGACCAAATGTCTCCCATTTTTTAATAGAGCAAATGAAAGAAAGTTTGTATTATGCCGCCAGTCTTTCCACAATCAAGAAAGTAGAATCACTTACTGTTTATGAAACTTCTCAAAACAAAGACATAGATGTTGAGTTCGATGCGGTTTACCTGTCTGCTAAGTATCTTTTAGATCATTTAGAACAGAATACAATTGCGGAGATCTGGAAAGTGTCGAGAGTCACAAGTCATAGGATTAATCACTTCATCTTTCTTCTTGCAGATGGTTCATATGGTTGTACTTGTCTTTTGCAACAAAGAAAAGGTCTTGTTTGTCGTCATTTTTATCATCTCTTGAATGTTACGGAGAAGGCACGTTTTAGTTTAATGTTGATAGTGGCATGATAGATCCCAAGAGACAAATGACTAGATGCAGCAAAAGAATATTTATATTCTGGTAAACAATTTAATGAATTAGCTAATGATGTAAATATCATTCAAGAAAGTAATGAGTGTCGATTTATGTGGTTACAACCATTTATTGGTAATGAAACTGGAAACACTATGAATGAAGAGTTTGTTGATAAAGTTCTTTTTTATAGAAAAGTTTGGGGTCTTGCTTGTACTGCTGTAAATAAGTGTATGTTGCATCGTAATCATGAATTTATTAGCTTAATTGAATCCTATCTAGAAAAGATTCATGCTAGTGAAGATGAATTGGTTGAAGAAGTCACAACAGACCAAAACACTACTGAAAATATAGAAAGTAATGTGATATCGATTGTGAATCCCTGAAAGATGGTCACTAGAGGAAAGCCAAAGTCAGCAAGTCATGATAAAAACGTCGTAACAACTACACAAGAGAAAGGTATTAAGAAACACAGGCAATACACTTGTGGATTCTGTAAGCAACCGGGCCATAATATTGCAACTTGCCCAAATAAAGAGAAAGAGTAAGTA